GCCCTCCCTCTTCCTACAAGGTTTATATAAGTACTTATAATAGACCTTGCTTCCTATCTCCTCCTCCTCCTTCTTTGCTCTCCTCACCGTCGTCCCTCCTTGAACTTGTTTTCCGTGGCCTTAAGCTGTGTTTTTTTAGTTGCTTGTTCCTTATTCGATGGAGGCTTGAGGAATAGGGGTAAGAGAGGAAGGAGGAATGGGTGGGAATAGGAGGAGATGGATAAGAGGACGATAGGAGATGCGAAGAAAAAAAGAGAGAAGGTCGAAGGGAAGAGGAGCAGGAGGAGGGTGAAGACGCAGGGATCAGCTGGCAGGCAGGGGCGGGGCAGGCAATGGGGAGCGTCCATGTGGTGGGTCGCCTTTCTTCCGTTGTTGTTTTCTTCCTTCTCTCTCTCTCTCTCTCTCTCTCCTTTTTTTCCCTTCATTATATAATTTCCTTGTTGCCGGCGCCTCCCTCCTGCCCGTGCCCGAGCGGCCTTCACCTTTCCCACCAGGAAACGGCCGCCCCCGTCTCCTGCAACCCGCTCGGGGATTCGCTTCGCTGGAATGAGGGGCGTCTGGGGGTTGGGGGGGGGGGGGGGGAGAGGCGTTACTACCTGGCGAGGGGGGGGGAGACTGGGGGAGGACTGATCCAGACTGGGGTTTCTCGTATATCATCATTTTTTTGTGAAATTACTTAGCCTCTTGTCTGTCTTTATCTATCTGTTTGTCGGACTATTTTCTCTCTCTCTCTCTCTCTCTCTCTCTCTCTCTCTCTCTCTCTTTCTCTCTTTCTCTCTTTCCTCTTTCTCTTCTCTCTCTCTCTCTCTCTCTCTCTCCCGTAAGTACCAAAGGATCCATAGAAATCAAATAAAAATTGCAGGTAAATGATGGACTAAAGAGGATTAAATGCCCCTCTCCCCTAGTCAGCGTTCTCCCTTCTTACCGGTTGCGGCTGATCAAAACATGGTTATTGTGGCTGGAGTGCTGAAGAAATATGATAATGGGAACGAACACAAAGGATAATATCGATCAGTGTTATTGTTAAGTTTGTGTCATTTACCGGAATCATGATAATTAAGGGATAATTAGGTAGTAGGGGTAGGGGAAAGGGGAAGAGGAGAGGGTGTGGGGCTATGGGAGCTGTACCTGGTTGAAATGGCCATTGCATTGTGAAAGTAAACAGAAAAATCAACAGATACAACCGTAGAAAAGGGTATGCATGTGGCTGGATATCTTCACAATACAAGAGATGTATTTGACCGGTTTCTCGTTCCTACCTTTTCTACATTTGTCAACATGGATACGGTTCGTCAGATACACCCGTGATGAATACGTTAATGATAAATAAAAAAAAACATGTATGAAGAAGGAATAGATTGAAAAAAGAAGGAAGTGTAAATAACTATGAAGCGAAAAGAACATGTATGAAGGAATGAATAGATTAAAAAGAAGAGGAAGTGTAAATAACATGAATCAAAAAGAACATGTATGAAGAATGAAAATTAAAAAGAAGAAGGAAGTGTAAATAACAACGAAGCAAAAAGAACATGTATGAAGGAATGAATAGATTAAAAAGAAGAGGAAGTGTAAATAACTACGAAGCAAAAAGAACATGTATGAAGGAAGGAATAGATTAAAAAAAGTAGGAAGTGTAAATAACTATGAAGCAGAAAGAACATGTATGAAGGAATGAATAGATTAAGAAGAAGAGGAAGTGTAAATTACGAAACAGAAACAACATGTATGAAGGAATGAATAGATTAAGAAGAAGGAAGAGTAAATAACAATGAAGCAAAAATAACATGTATGAAGGAATGAATAGATTAAAAAGAAGAGGAAGAGCAATAAAAGCAAAAAGTGAATGAATTAAAAAGAAGAAGGAAGTGTAAATAACTATGAAGCAAAAATAACATGTATGAAGGAAGGAATAGATTAAAAAGAAGGAAGTGTAAAATAACTATGAAGCAAAAAGAACATGTATAAGGAAGGAATAGATTAAAAGAAGAGAAGAGTAAAACTATGAGCAAAAAAAAGAACATGTATGAAGAATGGAATAGATTAAAAAGAAGAGGAAGTGTAAATAACTATGAAGCAAAAAAGAACATGTATGAGGGAATGAATAAATTAAAAGAAGAGGAAGAGCAAATAACTACGAAGCAAAAAGAACATGTATGAAGGAATGAATATATTAAGAAAAAGGAAGTGTAAATAACTAGCAACAAAAAACATGTATGAAGGAATGAATAGATTAAAAAGAAAAGAGAGTAAAACTATGAAGCAAAAAAAAAAACATGTATGAAGGAATGAATAGATTAAAAAGAAGAGGAAGAGCAAATAACTACGAAGCAAAAAGAACATGTATGAAGGAATGAATAGATTAAAAAGAAGAGGAAGTGTAAATAACTACGAAGCAAGAAAAACATGTATGAAGGATTGAATATATTAAGAAGAAGAGGAAGTGTAAATAACTATGAAGCAAAAAAAACAAAAAAAAAAAAGAACATGTATGAAGGAATGAATAGATTAAAAGAAGAGGAAGAGCAAATAACAACGAAAGCAAAAAGGACCCACGCGGCGAGAGGAAGGCGTACTCGGAGGGCATGCAAGTGCGAGGGCGGCGGCGATGGAGAGGGGTCACGCCCTCGCTCGTCCGGGAGGCCGGGCGGGCTCTGGGGCTCGGCTCGGGGGGGGGGGGGGGACCGCGGGGCTTCGTCGAGAGAGGCGAAGGGATGCAGCCGCAGGAACGGGGGAACAGATGCGGAGAGGTTAAGAAGAGTGATTGAGGCAAAGATGCAGACAGACTGATAAAGACAGTGGTTGAGAGAGAGAAGAGAG